TATATATATATATATATATATATATATATATATATATATATATATATATATATAATCTAAGTTGTGTTTGTAGTGCTTGTACTCTTTGCACGTTTTGCACTTTTAATAAGACAGACCTGAAAGTGTTAACAAATAATAGTTATAAAAATATATTAAAAGAAATAAGAATTATGGATGCATCAACTACCTAGATAGCCAAACCTGCGCGAGCAGATTTTACATAGATTCTTTTAGCAGTGTCTGTGACAGAAAGGCAACAGATTGCACACAATTTTTAGTTTTTTTAGTTTTTTTTAAACAAACCTGTGCTATACCATGCTCGCTCGCTCTCCATTCAATTTCGTATTACATATATTTATACACATTGTAAATAAATAACAACACATTTTATAAATTTATGACGAAATAAAAGTTAAAATAAAAGCACATTTTCTTTTATTGTATTACTAACACTATAATTTTGTCAATATATCTGTTCGTAGCACTATAATATTATATTCGCAAAATATTATTGTGTGTGAATGAATAGTTCTATCCAATCCATTCCAATGTAGAAGAGTAAATAGTACATTTTTTAATTGTATCTTATAATACAGTAATTTAAACAGGTCCCATACAGCACCAAATGTCTGAAATACATCCCAGAGACGTTCCAGAGACAATATGTCTGGGATGTCTCTGAAATGTTTTGGACATTTGTGCTGTATGGGTATATATATATATATAGTAATCGAGATCTAAAATTTAAGGAGATTAAATTTCTCGCGCGTTATCAAAAGTTAACCAATTAATGGCGGACTTCCGCTCCACTTTGTCTAGATTCTCTCTGTACCACATCATTCTGTCTTTATCGCTCTTTAGATATATACTTGTGGTCGGAAAGTTTGTTTGGTTTTTTTGTAAGTTTCGGGACCTATCCGTTTTGTCCAATGAGAGAACTTTTATTGGAAAATAAATTCTTCCATTGAATAAAAAAGATAGGTTCTTAAACTTACAAAAAAAATCAGAAAACCTTATCGACTACGAATGTATAGGATAAAAAGACATGTTAGAACTAATTAACACTGATAACGTACTCCCCAAATGTACCTTATGCAATCTCTGTGCTTCATTCCTTAGTACCGCGTACATTTAAACATAATTCCACACATACACATAATTATTACACAAAGAGAATTAATGATCCCTATATTTAGGGCAGATTTAAAGACTAGGGATGATCGCCATGAAATTCAGCGGTAAAACGGACTTACCTTCATTTTACCTTTATTTATAACTGTTCTACTCTCGACCACTAACTACTAATCAAACACGATTATATTTAATGACACGCGATAGAAACGCGAACGGTCACGATAACCCGATACATTCCATGGAATGTCAAAGATACTAATCGACTCACTCGTGTCGCGAAGCTCTGAAAAGACAAGTTTCGCTTTCTTTCTTTCTCTCACTCTCTTGTTCGCTCATACGTATACTCGGCACGCGCGGCGTGCACGTGTGCACTAGTGACGTAACATATTACTAGTCGCTTATTGTGCTTCACGTTCGTATATACCTCCTGATGTAAATCCATTACCGTTAGAAATGAGAAGAACTTCTGAAAACGTTCAACGCCCAGTTGTCACGAACTTTAGCAAAAATATTCCAAATAATGTCAAATAAATGTCCTCCAATAGATTTGCACCGATAACAATGTTTAATGCCAAAAAGGTTTAAATAAAGTTATATATAACTGTCGCCAACTATTTTTATTAATATCTCAAAATTTTACGTGGTTGTTTGAAAAATTACCTCTACAATTTTTGTTCAGTTTTATCTGTTCTACTTATATTTTTCTTTTGGCACACCTTACGCAGGACACCCTGTATATATATTATTTTCATAATTTCTGTTTACATTATTTTAATTCGTAATTAAAATTTAAAAAAAAATATATATAAGATCCTAAACAAAATATTTGTCAGTAAATAATATCTGTCAAAAAAGAGAACACAATTCCTTGTAATCGAACATAAGAAATATAGGGAAAAACAAAATAAATAGAGACGCTTGACGCTTTCGTGAGACATCTTCTTCCGGAAACGAACAAATAAAGGCTGGTAAGAAATAGTACAGTCAAAGAGAGTGAGAGAGAAGAAAAGAGTTCGGCTATTTCGTTAGGCAGAGGAGAGGATCGAGAGAAACAAAGGCATTCAGTAGCGTAGAGCAAATAAACAAAGACTATTAACATAGGCTATTTGTATAAGTGATTAAATATTATTATAATTATATATATATATATATATATATATATATATATATATATATAGAGAGAGAGAGAGAGAGAGAGAGAGAGTATTTTATACTCTTTATAATAATATAGTATATTCAGATTTTCTCTGAAAATTTTCTATCTTTTAATTTATCCCTATCTCTTCCTATTATTTTTATGTGAATTTAAATATTTTTATATATTTTATATATTTTAAATATTTTTATGTATTTTTTCTATATTCATATTTCCAACTAAAGATGTAAAATCTAGAACTAATATTTTTATACAATTATCGAAAAAAAATAGTGACTGAAGAGTAAAGAAAATATGGAATAAATGAATTAGATAAATGATTCAGGATATAAGAATGTAATTAATTTAATAATAATTTAAATTTAATAGACAAATTAGAATTAAAATTAATGAATATTTTTACTTTTAATCATAAAAAAGAAGCAGATAAAGAAATAAGAGTTTATCTAAGACGAACGAACATCTTACCTGAAAAGGATTTTGATCCTTGAGATTAGTGTAAAAGATTGGCATGTCCTTGCCGTACCAGCGACCCTGCGAGTAGATCGAATTAACCCTCATATCGGTTTCGTTGTTTGGAACGTCTAGCAACTTATTTTGATTACTTCCCGTTTGGTCCAGCATTTTATTGTTTCGCGCATTTGCCAAAAGATTGACCGCACCTTCTGTCAAACGCGGCCCATTCTCACACATGGGAACAGAGCAGCTTCTTCTGGTACCAAGATCTCGTAGACTCGTCCTATTCAAAATCGGATAAATCTTGATGTTTTGCGATCTCAGGATTGAATCACGAAACAGGAAATTAGGCGCGTCTGGATCTTTGTCCCGATGATTGCTTTTGTTCTCTCTCAAGATCGTGTCCTTACTAGCGGCCAACTCATCAAGCTTCTCACAAGAATTCGTATTAGCCAATTTGCTCTTGCACTGTTTGCAATCCTTTTTCTTGCGCCTGCGATTTGGTCTGCGATCGGGTTGCTCTGTTGTCTCTCGTGACGAATTTTCGTTTTGCCGAGATAACGAGGATACGTTCGCTTCAACGTTCTTGTGCAGGTTTCCTGA